TTCAGTGTCTGATATTCTCTCTTCTATCTCTTGTAATCTGTTGTTAGTACTTGTTTCTGTCATTCCTGTTGGTTTACCCAGATTTTCCATCTCCATTCTTCCCTCGGTTTGTGCTTTCTTCATTGCTTCCATTTCATTCTTCATGTCTTGAACCGCTTCCCTAACCTGTTTGATTGCTTTTTCTTGTTTCTCTTGGTTTTCTTACATGTCTTTGTGTGATTTTTTCATTTCCTCTACCTTTTTGTTTGTAATCTCTAATTGTTTATGGCAGTTTTTCACCTCCTGTTTAAGGTCCTCTATTATTTTCATATAGTTCACTTTTGAGTCGATTTATTCTATTTCTTCAGGAGTAGGGTGTACAATTCTCCTTATTTCGGGATCCCTGGTTTCTGCTGGTGTCATGTTGCCTTTCAGATTGTTGGAGGAATTCTTGTATTGGCGCCTTCCCATCTCTTCCTTCAAATGGAGCCAGGAGAGGCCTGGTCTCTTGGTCCAGTCTTTGCTGTGATTGACTCTCTGGGTATATCTCTTCAGTGTAGAAGCAGGAACCGTTCCCGTCCCAATGGGAATCCTCAGCAACTAAACAGGGCCGCTGGTAGCCCAATGATCCAGGGCCAACAGGATGAGTGGAGCAGGGGGGGGGTGATGGTATCCAGGAATGCGCAGGAAGCCTGGCGCTGGAGCTGAAGGTGCCCGGCTCCCTTACAGGGGACCCTGAGGCCTGCCAGGAAGGCAGGAACTCTCCGCTCTGGGTGGGTCGCCTTAGATTAGGAGCTTGAAACTGTACTTGAGCACTGGTCCTAGCATACAGCAGGGCAGGGTTGGGGAGGGGTGCTGGGGGGGCTGGGTCGTGCAAAAGAAAGACAGCCCTGCAGAAGGAGCTGGGGGAGGGGGTTTGTGCTCTCTTCCTGGACAGTCCGCCCCTGGATAGCACACACTCACCCGTCCTGATGGGATTCCTCAGCAACTAAACAGGGCCGCAGGTAGCCCAATGATCCAGGGCCAACAGGATGAATAGAGCAAGGGGGGGGGTGGTATCCAGGAACGCGCAGGAAGCCTGGCGCTGGAGCTGAAGGTGCCCGGCTCCCTTACAGGGGACCCTGAGGCCTGCCAGGAAGGCAGGCACTCTCCGCTCTGGGTGGGTCGCCTTAGATTAGGAGCTTGAAACTGTACTTGAGCACTGGTCCTAGCATACATCAGGGCAGGGTTGGGGAGGGGTGCTGGGGGGGGGCTGGGTCGTGCGAAAGAAAGACAGCCCTGCAGAAGGAGCTGGGGGAGGGGGTTTGTGCCCTCTTCCGGGACAGTCCGCCCCTGGATAGCACACACTCACCTGTCCTGATGGGATTCCTCAGCAACTAAACAGGGCCGCAGGTAGCCCTATGATCCAGGGCCAACAGGATGAGTGGAGCAAGGGGGGATGGTATCCAGGTACGCGCAGGAAGCCTGGCGCCGGAGCTGAAGGTGCCTGGCTCCCTACACCTATACTTGTTTGTATGAAAGCCTTGCAAAATGGCGTTACAGCAGCTAAGCTGGGGTCTTTCAAGGCAAAAAGAGGAGAGAAGAAATGCGTACAGTCCTAGGATGAAGGAAAATGGGAACTCACTTTAAGTGACTTTAAGAACATTGCTTTTATACTGTTATTTTATTCTGGTGAGAAAGTTGATCTTGTGATTCATTCTAGTTAAAATCCTACGTGACCTAACATTCAGTTATAACTCCTCTACTCACTAGTATAAGAAAACAGAATATAAAAAGAAGTATACTAAATGAATATTAGGTTTAAATTTTAACTAGTAGAAAATTTGGAAGGAATATACCTTAAAAGGCAGCATTACCACTATGGGGAATATCCCTAAAGGACACTCAATCATATCACAAGGACACTTGCTCAACAAAGTTCATAGCATATTCATAACAATATTCATAATAGCAAGAACCTGGAAACAATCTAGATGACCCTCAACTGAAGAATGAATAAAGAAAATGTTTTACAATTACACAATGAAGTATTACTCTTCTGTAAAAAATGATGACATCATGAAATTTGCAGGCAAATGGATGGCACTAGAGAAAAAGTTATCCTTAGTGAGGTAACACAGACTCAGAACGACAAACATGGTATGTACTCACGCTTAAGTGGATATTAGACATAAAACAAGGGATAACCAGACTACATTCCACAACTCAATTCCCCTGGGAAGGGGAATTAGATGAGATCTTTTGGGTAAACTGGGAGTGGGAGGGTCTGTAAGGGGGAGGGGCTGGAAGATGAGGGGAATGAGGGCATGGAATGGTTGAGTGGGGAGAGGGATGGAGTGGTATAATAATAAAAGAGCGATCTTTATAGACATATCCACTATAGGGTTAGGGAGAAATCTGGTGCTAGGGAAATTCCCAGGAATTTACAAGGATAACTAAGACTCCTAGAAACAGTGGAGAAGGTGCCTGAACTAGCCTTCCCCTGTAATCAGATTGATGAATACCCCTACTATTATCATAGAGCCTTCATTCAAAATTGATGGAACCAGATGCAGAGATGCACATCCAAGCAACAGGCCGAGCTCTGGAAATAAAATTGAAGAGAGGGAGAAGGACATATATGAACAAGAGAGGAAAAGATTATGATGAAGAAATCTATAGAGGCAGCTGAACCAAACTCATGGAAAATCATGAACTCTAGGTGAACAGCTATGGAACCTCCATGGGAACAAACTAGGCCCTCCATATATGGGAGACCATTGCAAAGCTTGAACTAGCTGAGGGGCCCCTGGCAGTAGGAGCAGGATCTATCCCTGGTACATGAGCTAGCTTGTTGGAGCCCATTCCTTATGGTGGGATGCCACACTCAGCCTTAATGTAAGTGGGAAGGTCTTCACTCTCTTCCCAACTTAATGTGCCAGGCAAAGTGACACAGCTTTGCAGAATTAAACAAATGCAACATAAGGTAATACAACAAGTTTGCATCATTAAATAAATATTCAATGGCATAAATGATTGCAACACATCTTAAACTATATTTTACAATGCTAATCTTTGTTGAGATTTAACTTTGGTAAATAAAATCACACTGTATTTTCACTAAGTAGAAAATTCTTCTTTTACACTCATTTAAACATGTGAATATATGCTGTTCATAGTCAGTTTTTTGTTGTTGCTTGTTTGATTTCTTTCTTTCCTTCTTCTTCTTCTTCTTCTTCTTCTTCTTCTTCTTCTTCTTCTCCTTCTTCTTCTTCTTCTCTCTCTCTCTTTCTGGATAAGGTCTCACTCTGTTGCTCATGAATATCTTCTTATCCTCTTGCCTCAGTAGCTCAGATGATGAAATTCCAGGTCTATACCACTAAGTTGAGCTGTTTAATATATTTTAAAGACACTTCCACACTTGTGGGTAAGATGATAGATTGGAAGCAACTTCTAAGCCAAATGGTGAAAGATAGTCAGAATAAAAAAACAATGGAGTCTATTTCTATATGAGAGAGAAGTAAAGAAAGAGATAAGACATAAGCTTACATGAGAAGAACCAGCCAAGACTGGCCATTAATCAGGCATGCCATCATGATTATTCTGGTCTCGGTTAGTAGTAGCTGCCATACATATGTTCTTTCTATCTGGGACATAGATGCTTTGGAAAAATAAGCTGGAAAAAGACTGCTTATGTTGTATAAATGTGACCGGGAATTGGGTACATCCTACATGGAAAGGTGGCTAAAGCAGACAAGCTATGTGGATGGGGTGAGTCTAGAAGAAATGGTTAAGTTCATAAACATAAATAATCCACCAAAACCAAACTCAACAACTTAAAAACACCTATGAAAATCAATGAGATTGAAGCAGCAACTAAGTCTCCTGAAAAGAAAAACCTGTGATTTGGTTGAATTCTACCAAATGTTTAAAAATTATTATTATTATTATTATTATATTGGTTTTCAAGATAGGGTTTCTCAGTGTAACAGCCCTGGCTGTCTTGGAACTCTCTTTGAAGACCAGACTTTCCTTGAATTTATAGAGATCTGCTTGCCTCTTCCTCTTGAATGCTGGGATTAAAGGCTTGTGCCACCACCCCCTGCTGTAATTCTACCAGTTTTTTTTTTGAGACAGAGTTTCTGTGTACAATAGCTGTAGCTGTCTTGGAATTAGCTCTGTAGACGAGGTTGGACTTGAGTTTACAAAGACCTGCCTGCCTCTGCCCGGAATTAAAGTGCTGAGATTAAAGGCAAGTGACACCACTGCTTTGGTTTTCAAAACTTTTAAAACTTTTAAAGAAGAGATAACAAAAACATATTTCAAAAAATTCCACAGAACTGAAACATTATTTTCTGAAAAGTCAGTATTACTGTGATTCCAAAAGCAATTAAGGACTCAACAATAACAAAAAACCCATTATAGAACAATTTTCCCAATGGACACAGACATAAGCTCTTTCAACAAAATACTAGCAATCTGAATTCATGAATACATTAAGAAGACCACATACAATAGTCAGCAAATAAAGCATATAAATAGACTTAAGGACATAAATCACATGATCATCTCTATAGATTCAGAAAGATACATGAGAAAGTTTAGCATGTTTTCATGATAAAGGTCATGAAAGTAGTAGAAGGGATAGATCTCAGGATGATAACAGCTATATATACAACACACCTGTCACCAACATTACTCTTGATGAACAAACAGCTTCTCCTGTAAGATGTGGAATGAGACAAGTGTGCCTGCCAACTTTCTATGTTCTTACTCAATATAATACTTTAAGTCTTAGCTATGACAATATGACAAAAGAAAAAAATAAAAGGGATACAAATAAGAAGTCAAATTTTTCTGTTTATAGCTGTCCCGATTCTATATTTAAAAATCTTTAGAGATGCTGCCAAAAATTCTTAGATCAGATGAATACTCTCAGCAAAGTCGTATGCTACTAAATCAACAACCCCCAAATCAGTAACTTTTCTACACACCAGTAATATGCTTGTAGAGAAGGAAACAGGGAAAAATGTCCATTAACCATGGCCTCAGAAAAACTAAAGTACAAGGGAGGGCACCAACATGCTGAAAATGCCTCCGCGAAGCCCCGAGGCCTACCCGGTGCCCTGTTGGGGCCCACAGCCAGAAGAAGCCAACCTGCCAAGCGCCGCCGCCTCCAGGAGCCTGCCTGCCTGGGGTCGTTGGCACAGCCAGACCTGGAAGCATCCGCCAGGCCTGCCAGCAAAGAGCTCACCTCCACGGTGGTCATTCCCACCAGCTGTGCCATGCAACTACACTTGGAAGGCATCGACCTGCTGCTGGAGCCCGAACCAACCTCGGTCAAGCGAGTGTTGCTACCTGGACACACCATCATTCTAGTCCCTGAGGGCCTCCAAGCCTCCTCCCAACCTGGGCAGGCTGTTCTGGCCCGCTGGCACGCAGGAACCCGCTGTCCCGGACATGCTCCAGGACCACCACGTCTTTGGCCTCCACCAGGGATTCAATGGTGCTGAGAGATATGCTCCTTGCTCCATTTTGAGCAGCACGTGCTGGCCTCTGCCCCGCTCACAACTGCAGCCTCTCCCTCCATCTCCTCCTCCAAGTCATCAAGAACAAATCTCTGAGAGTTGTCAGAAGCCTCCACGGCCACTGTGCAGGGCCAAGAGGCACCTCTCCTAGGAGAGGAACGACGATTGCATCCCAACAAACAGCACCTCGGACGTTTATCGGGCCGCCCTAGGAGATTCCCAGGGTGCCCCGACACACCCAGTAACCTACCATTGAGACTGGGCGAATAGCGAGTACTTTTTGCTGCACATTATGGAGGGAAGAAGAGAAGGACTTGGAGAAGGGTGCAGACACTGGATCTCACCCCTCAAGCTCAAAAGCTGCCTTCTCTTCCAGTTCTGGGATTCATCTCAAAACCTTTCTTGCCACCTCCTTGGTGACCCAAGCATGGATCTCAGGAACCAAGGCAGCACTGGCGTTACTAGGCTGCCAGTCTCCTTTCTGTGTTCCCCTGACTGGAAGGAGAACTGTGCCTGCATTGGTCCTCCTGGACAGTTCAAGCTGCTCTCTGGGGAACTGACAGAATAAGAAGAAGTTGGTTCCTTGTCCTGAGTGGACGATGATTCTTGGCTTCTTCGCAGACATTCCTTCACCTGCTGGAGTGGATTCTCTTCACTGTCTCTTCATGACAAACAGGACTACATGGGAAAACCCTAGCTTGAAAAACAAACAAACGGGACAGCTCCTGAAGACAGCTGCTTTTATGGCCCTTTAGTTCGCTGCTCTTGAGAAGCCGAAGATACCAGATCTTTGTGAAGTCCGGCTTGCTATCCAACAAACTCAAACTCCCTTCTTACTGCAAAATGCTTTTTTTCAAAGCAATGCTTCTGATTCCAACATCACTTACTATTAATAAAATATATAGACCATAAAAAAAGAAAGACCTCTACAGTAAGCAGTCCCCATGGATTGCTAGGGAGGGTGTAAACTACGACACCCATTATGAAATTCAACATGGAAGCTCCACAAAAGAATGAAAAATAAAGCTATCCTATGGATCATCTCAGTGCCTTTTGGTTATATACTCAAAGGAACCTTTAAGTCTTAGCACAGAGATACTTAGGCATATTTGTTTATTTTTGTTCTATTCACAATAGATAAGAATTTGAATCAGTCTAAGTGTCCATCAACTGATGAATGAAAAATGAAAATATGGTACATATACACAATGGAATTTTATTCAACCATAAAAAATAAAGTCATGCTACTTGCAGGAATATGGATGGAAATGGGAATCATTAAGTGAAATAAGCCATACTCAGAATGCAAATACTATCTTTTCCCTCATAAGCATAGCAAGATTTGAAAACATGCGTACACACATATTCAAGCACACACACATATGCACATACACACATGCATACATATACACACACAGTGAAGGTAGATCTTGAAACTAGAAAGGGAACTATTAAAAGGAAAAACGAGATCTTCAGAAAGTCAAGGGTGAAGGAAGAAGATAACAACATTTGACATGGCTACCCAGGGGAACTAATAGGAGGTGGGGATGGTGGAATGGTGTAGTAGAAATAAGGTAAAAGTATTAAGCTATAATGAACCCCCTTGGTTTTGAATTCTAACTTTAAAAACTAACAAAGATACCTCTAAATAAATAGTCACCATAAAAATATAAAGAAATATTGACAAAGAAAGTCTCCGTACTCACTGTTCTTCTGGGATGAGTATGTGTGTGTATGTGTGATTTATTATATTTAAACTGTGTCCTAAACTCTAAATCCAGTAGCACCCAACTTCAAAATATCATTTAAACTATATGTTTCGGAAGTTTCTGCCTTTCAAATGAACAGTTAAATTAGAATGTGTTTTGTAGATTGACTAGACAAATTAAAACCTATTCTTGTCTAATACTTTATCTTCAGAAAGTGCTTGTCAAGTGTCTCTTTGCCATAGTTACACACGTTTTTGCATTTAGCATCCTCATGTCTGTTGAAGAAGCCAATTAATATCATACCCATACACTTCTAATCAAGACTTCCCTATTAGTGCTCTGTCAAGTGAACTCTTGCTGATTAACTGAAAATTAGTCAGTGAAGCTAACGGTTTTCTCTCCAGACCCCGTGGGGCCATAAAATGTTCATCTGAATTAAGGACAGTTAATTAGGGTGGGTAAACTGCCAGTAGAGTGAACTTACTGAGTCAGTGTTAGGAACCCTGGTTGGTGGTGGTTGATTTGATGCAGGCTGGCAGATCTCCCTTTCAAAGTCGGCTGTTTTTCTCTTAGCTCATGTCTCTTCCAGGCATTTCCGTAAAATGATGTCTGGCAGCTCTTTCACTCTGCTTACAAGAAAAACTCCCCAGTATATCACATAAGGAAAAGCAAAATAAGAATCCTTTGTCCCTGGTAAACTACTTTGTGCTTTGGGTAAGCATTATCATTTCTGGGCTTGATAAAAAAAATCATTATAATTTTAATGTACTTTTAAGTTGCTGAAACCCATTGCAACCAGCAGAGATGATGTATATGAATATGCCAGTCAGGTTTTATGCTGCATCTGTCACAAGGTGATGAACAGTTCTGAACATACTTTTCTAGATTGCTGGTCCTTGCACTCTCAATAGAAAGGAAAGAAAGTGGGGACAAAATTTTCAGTAAGAGCACTAAGGAGCATATTTACCTCAGCCTGACAAAAGGATGGATGTTTAGTAAAATGTCAATGGGAGCAAGTGCATATCTAATGACTGTGCAATACTGGAACTTGGGTTGTCTTTTTGCAGACCTCAAGCTGCAGTTTTATATCTGACAGTAGTCATAGCATTTTGGTACTTCAGTTAGTAAGTCCATTGAAAATGATTTAAGATGAATCTTTCTCTTAATGCAAGGTGTGAAGGCTGGCGTACCTTATAGAGATATTTTAGATCTATTTAGCATATTTAAAATAGAGGCTGCCTAACATTTTCTCACATATAATATTCATTTGCATTCTAAAACAGGAGGGACATGAATTATGGAGCCAAATAAACTGTTTTGCTAAAGGCATGTTCATAGTCTTCCATTGCTGTTCACTACTCCTGCCATATCTAGACACATATGGCTGCAAAGTCCTACTGAAGGGTTTTTGTTTTTGTTTTGTTGTTATTGTTATTTGTTTTTGTTTGTTTTGTTTCAAGGATGGAGCTGCAAGACAGACTTTTCCCTTCACTTTATATTTTAATTTTGTGTTTTGTTCCAAAGGGATTGTCTGCTTATAGATGTAAAGTTGAAACATCAGCCTTATTTCAGGATGGGCAATATTAAATACAATTTCTCCATTGAAAAAGATTATTAGTGACAGAAAAATTCAACTGACATTCTTTTTATTGTTGTTGTTTAAAAAGTTTCTTCAAGTGAGAAATATGGAAGCTTAAAAACGGTTACAGACGTGAGAAAACTAGAAATTAGACAACCTCACAACTATTTTTTCCCTTAGGAGCCTCTTGAAGCTTGTAATGTAATGTCTTTAATGGCCTGCCAAGATAATCACCAAGATCTGTTAAAGAGCAAGGGGGCACTCTGGACTTAAGCAGATAGCTGAAAAATCTGTCAAGCTATCTACTTCAGCTCTTATCAAGACAGATGTGAGAAGCAGAGGAATGAATAAATTAATGAGGATTTCAATTAACCTAGCTTGGTTGAACCCCTGACTTTATCACTGATGGTTTGTGTACTATCATCCGTTTATCTTCTCTTGATCGGGCCTTTATGCAGCTTTCTTTCCAGGATCTAGCATATGCAAGTAATTAACCTGTCTACACAGAAATAAGTTAAGTCTGGCTAATACGATTTGACTACTTCAGATTCAAAGTAATAGTGGAGGAAGAATGAGAGAGGGAGACAGAAGAGCATTTCATTCCACTCTTGTCCATCGCCTGCCTTCTCCCTCATTCAGAATTGACTGTCTGCTCTGAAGGAGTAGATTTGAGCTAACCTCACCTCTTAGCCATCAAGAATGCCTACAAGTTGACTACGTGGCAGCATGTAAAAAGTTCATTACCTCCCTAGCACCCTACAAATGAGGAGAAAGAAGGGGATCTATATCCCCTAGGGTGAGTGTAGCTCAGTGAGACTACATACTCATTATAGACAGGTTCCTGAGCTTGAACCCTGCTACCTTTCCTACTCTTCTGAATTGCAGAAATTATGTAAATTCTGCTGTTAATTTTTTGTCGTTCTTCCTTGAGAAAGGTTTTCTGTAGCTGGCAACTAAAAGTAAATCTTTCAAGTCTGAAGAAATGACTCAGAGTTTAAAAGCACCTGCTGACCTTGCAGAGACCCTGGTTGTGGTTTCCATTACAACCATCAATAGCTCCACTTCCCTTTCAGTCCCAATGAGCTATTCTGGCCTCTGTGGGCAAGAGGTATATATATATATATATATATATATATATATATATATATATATATATATATGCACATGTACATGTACATGTATATGTATATATATAATGCATTTACATCCTTGCAAACAAAACATGCACAAAGATACAATTCAAATCTTTAAAAATTGAATTAGATCTTTCTGTCTCCCTTCCTCCCTCCTTCCCCCTCCCTAAGTCTTCCCTACTTTCTCTAGAACTAAAAGACATCAAGTTGATTGAGTTAGCATACTGTATCTCAGCATTGACAACAACTAACAAGTATTACCAGAATTAATTAATTTTCCCCATCTCTGATTACATGTCCATTTGACCTACAATTGATACTAGAGTCTCCCTATGCTGTGAACATGTACAATATTAGTACATCTACCTTATTTGATTTGGAGATTTGGAGTCTTCAGGAAAGGAGTACTATTTTTTTTGTGCACTGTGCAGCAGTGTAGTTAAAATTAATGGAACGATCTATTTGTTACTAGTCTAAGAAAATGTCAGAAAGGATTTTAAACCCTAGTAGACTGTAGTCCAGTGGCCACATTAACTTGCTGGCTACTTTTGCAAATAGTTTTACTGGCACACATCCATGCTTATATTGTCAATGTTTGTTTCTATATAGAAGTGGCAGAATTGGATGGTACCTTTTGGTACTTTGGATAAGGGAATAGAAGGCAAAGAGAGACAATTCTAAGATAATTTTATAGATTTGTACAGAGCATCTTAGAAGTGGAATTGCATTT